CCCCGCTAAATCGAAAATCGCGATAATTCGTAAAAAATTCTGTTCCCTTGAAAAAAAATCCCTTGAAAAAATCTCGATAAATCGAATTCCCGTCTAATTCGTAAAAAAAGTGATCCCCTTGCCATTTCGAATTATCGGGACTCGACTGTAGTTACATCCGAAGAATTCTGGTGTCAGGATTTCTTCCTCACTTCTTTCACTTTCTTCCTTAATCTTCAAAAGCGGGTGTTAAAATGTATGGATATTGTAGGTTTTATTCTAGTAGGTCTTTTAGTAAGTCTGCCCATCTCTTCGCAGACAACTTTATCAGTCCCTTTGAAGCTTTACCAAAGGACTTGTTGCTATTGCAGGTACTCTTTAAAATGGTAAGACATTTTATGCTACTACCCCGTTCTATTTATAACATATGTTTCCCAAATTACACTATAAAAAATCAATGAAATTGATTTTTAAAAAATTCCTAAGATTGGCAGCAGAAATGACTGAAACTTGTATGGGAAATCAATTATACAATCTTCTTTTGTGTTACCTCATCCGTTATAAACTCTTTCTCAATACGGAATATTCGCGAGATGGGCATTAATTATGCCTCAAAGGCAGAAGAAAGCCAATAAGGGCGCATTTGCTTTAGTCCATCGCAAATGACCGCGCGAAGTGCGAACGACCACACATCCCCGCCCACTACGCCCACTGGCACCCCCTCAGCTTTTATATTTCCCGCCAGAGGGAAATTGTTGTCGCGGCAGTGTGTGAGGTCAGGTTCATAAGTAAGTCAATAAGTCACTTGGTTAATGACAACAACAGGCAGCAACAGTATCTGCGGCACTTGTCAGCGGATTCTGGGAAATTCTCTCAGTCTGATTTCCACCGCTTTTCCTTTTCAGCTTGTCAGCGTCGTTTTCTCTCCGCCTGCAAGCTGGGCAACATCTCATTGGCAACATTGTTGAAACAATACTTGTTGTGTTTGAAGGTTTTTTAGTTACCGTCCATGGTGTCCAATTAAGTTGATAATCGTTGCTTGGATTTTTTTTTGCTATTTAGAAATTATTATTATTAAAAAGCTTAGCTTAACCCAGAAGAATTTTTACTTTATAAGTGCAACAATAATTGTTTTAAAAACATCTGAAACCAACCAAGTTTAATAAAGCAAGAGGAGCGCAGAAGAACAATTTGAACAGGCGTGACAACATTTTGCCTTTGTTCAAATTGTTATCATTATGATCAGCTTGTTAAGTCCCAATATTGTAGCTCAATATAATTTTCAGGATCTCCACTTTTTCATACAAACAGGAGGGCGGACCTATAGGGATTTAGGTCTTTAGGGTAAGAAAATTAAAATCAACAAGAAAGGAAGCTAGCTTCGGCAAGCCCAAGTTTATATATTGGTCTTTCCTATGACGTCATATGATATAGTTGTCCGATTTTTTGATTTTTTTTTTTTATAATTTAAGGCTGGTTAAAAAAACTGATACTCAAAATATCATGGTCGTGTGATAAAAAACAACAACGTTAACAATTTATTTCCATTAATTCTCTATATATACCTAATATTTTCGATCTTTCCTATGGCAGCTATACGAAATAGTTTTCCGATTTTGACAACATTTAATTCGAAACTTGATAGTGGTTGGAAGAAACCAAGTCGATATGATAAAAACCAACGGAGTGAGAATTTTCTTTTTCAATCTCTTGTATGGGAGCTATCCTATATAGTCGCCCGATCCGGCCCGTTCCGACTGAGGTGTCTGAGGTGTCTCCTTCACTGCAAACTTCTGACTAAAATATAATGCCTTTCTGTACTGCAGGGTTATAAAAACGGACTACTAAAAATATTGCTGGCCTGAAATCCTTCCTTTTGTGTTACAATGTTTATTTGAAAAAAAATTTAATTTAATTTAATTTAACATCTGACTGAAATTATAATACGCTCTGAACTGTAGAAAAACGATGTTATGGTTACGGTTACAGTGCGACCAACACCTAAGTTTCTTTTCAACATTTCTCAAAATTTTATTAAAATAAGAAGCCATGTATTAGTAACCAATAAAAAATAAGTGACTGTAAAAAAAGATGTAAAGCTGAATTAGGTAGTTCTGAAAGTTGATTGCACGTACTAGTAAATTCTAAGCTAAGTTAACTGTAGAATCAATTTCACCAATTTATTACTGTGTAACTAATAAGTTAGTTTTACATTTTTTCCCTAAACAAAAATCAAATTGCTTAGCAGACCTCTTTGTTAGTTGGGCCCCAAGTCAAAGTTCCACGAGTATTCAGCAAGGATTTTCTCTCGCCATTTTCCGCTGTAAGTCCCAGCTGAATCTGCGTTTTGGGAAATTATCCCTCAGGCACGCTGCTCATTTTTTGTGCGCCGACTTGGAATTTCCTAGGCATTATGCGAAAGTGCTGGCTAACTGGATTATCCCAGGCCATGGTCACTTGGGGGTGGAGTGGGGAGTTGTTGGGCGGTAGTTTTCATCTTTTCCCTCTTCATAGTTTTCAATGGGGCGCATTTTGCGCCGCAGTCAATTTGATGAATTTTTCACAAATTCCATCTTGACGTCAAATTGGCCATCATATCTTTTTGTTTTTCTTCGGGACTCTGGATTTTTTTGCGTCGAGCCGCGAAAAGCGTAGTAGGTCGCTCTGCTTACTTCTTGCTTGCATATATATTTTTTCCCACACCCTTTGAAGAGTTTTCCACTGTTTTCCCCCGCTCTTTTTTCCACGGCTCCCTTCCGTGATTGATGCATTGCGCTTGTAAATTTGATGTTGGTTGGTGGGAGGGGGGAGGGGGGAGGTGGAAACCTGGTGGAAGGGTGGGTGGACTACCCACTCGCCCCTTCCCCCGAAAACTCCAACACCCAGGGGTTTCCGCGGGTGGAAAATCGTAGGGGTTGAGAGGGGAAAGGGTGGCATGCAAAGTACGCGAAATTGACTTCGCTTCTGCGGGCGCTGACAGTGGCATTGCGGCCGAAAAGAAGTGGGGAAAATGGAGGAAAGCGCGCAAGGAGCGCAGTAAATGATGAATGGAAAATGTGTGGGAAATTGTTAAGGCAAAACAGTGGGGCAGCAGCAGCAGCAGCAGCAGCAGCAGTAGAAGCGGCGAAAGAAATTGTGAAATCTTAGTTGAAATTATTATAAATTAATGGCTATCCTTGTGGCCCAGTTACCCGAATGTTTTTTGGCTCAAAGGGGAGAGGGGGATGCGGAGCGGAAAGGGGAAAGGGGAAAGGGGGGGGGAGTGGTTAGGTTGGCCAACAGGGCGGATGAGTGACCTGGGAGCGGAAGCCGTCTGTGGTCTTCTGCTGCACGGTTCATTGTGCACTGAGAAGAAAGAAAGAAAGTTGCCGACTCACACACACCCACACACACATACGACCACGGGAAGTCCTTAAGAGGCCAAAAGGGTAGGGATCACTGGGGAAAGGTGGAGGGGGCAAAGGGGGGAGGGAAAAAGGGGGCGGGGATCCCCCTCCTAATGTCGCCTCGGTTTGACAGTTGCATTTTTAATGCTCGACATAATTAAGTTTGGTTAGCAGAGCAGGGATTTATCTTTTGTGTGTGTGTGTGTGTGTGCTTAGTGGGCTCACTGTGGCACAGTGGGCCCTCCCCATTCCCCAGTCAGCCACCTCCTTTGTCGGCTAACCACTTTTGCTACTTTTGTGCTGGATTTTGGAACAAAGCCAAACAAAGCGGCCAATGTCAGTGGGCAAATTTTGGCATCGGAGCTTGGAATATTTAGATGATAATTTGAATGCATATCGAACACCGAGAAATCGGAGTGGCCGATCAAATAAAAATTCAATTTATGTAAACTACAGCAATATACTCTAAAGTGGGGCAATGTTTAATGTGAGTGTAATCCAGAAAAGGGGATTTTTAGTTATTAAAGGGGTATTTTGTTAACACATTTATTATTATTAGCCGCTCTTAGCGCTTCTGCGGTTATTAATTCTTTCGTCGCCTGCCAGGGAAAAGTGCATGAAAAATGGAAAACCCGCTCGAAAGACCCTCCGTGTCATCTGTTAGCAATAAATGCAAACCGCGAGCTAAAACAAGATGGGGAAAAGCTGGGGGAAACTTTTAAACAAACAGAACGGGACACTAAAAGAAAAACATCCGCCTTAATTAAAAGGCAATGAGTTTTAAATGTTTTTTTAGCTGCAACTATTTTTGTAAAATCCTACATATATTTTATAAAATTTATGATATGAAAGAGGAAGCCTTACCCGTTCAATATAACTTTGTACTCCAGAACAGGGTTAAAATTTCATATGTATTTATTAATGGGTGTAGTTTCCATTTTTAATTCTTTATTATAATACAGAATACAGTTATTTATTATAATCATTACTATAATTATAATAAATACCTTTTACTCTTCAAAACTATAACCAGATTTAAGGCGACTGGATCATGATCCGAATGGAGTTATTTAAGGACGACGCGTTAAAGTCTGCGTAATTCATTGACAGCTGCACAAAGGACCGCACTTGCGGTCTATTTATGCTAATTGGCCTGCAGCTGGAGCCGGCTTTTTCCCCCAGTGCAGCAGATACAGCTGCAGCGGCAGCGTGAAAATAAATTGAACATCTAGACGATGCCACGCGAAGCGTCACTGACCTAACGCACACGTGAGCCAGCGGCATTGGCGGCGTTAACAAAAATAGCACGACGCCGTGGAAAAAGGAAAGGCGGCTGCCCCCGCGGCGGGAATTTTCCTCGCGGCGGCAGTAAAAGCAAAAGCAAAAACAAAAGCAAAAGCAACGCAACGCAACAACCAAGAGGACCCGACAACAACGACGACGACAACGGCAACGGCAACGAATGCCGCCGATATGTTGCGGCAACAAGCAACTTCGTGGATGCTGCTGAGGAGATCGGCGGAACTCGGGAGGACTCGGAGCACCTCGCCAGGGAAAGTCGGGGAAAATCCGAGCTCGGGATGCAGTTGCCGGCAGCTGGCGGGCAGCGCCGAAAATCAGTCTTTGCGCGTTTTCCAACTGCTGCGGTTCAGCGGACAGGCGACGCTGGATTTTCGAACGCCAGACATTGCCGAAATTTGCGAGTGCCCACAAAGCATCGTTCTCCGAACTCCGAACTCCAAACTCCAAACGCCAAGCAGCGAGCTCCACAAACGCAGAAACTGAACGAACAAACCAATTCCGTACCCACATCCAGATACTTTATTTAAAAACATAAATATTATATATTTTGTTTTGCGGCCCCACGCGAGTGTTGCTTTTATTTTTTGAGTGCTTGTGCGGGTGTAGCGCACTTTTTGGCTTTTTTAGCCGGAGTTCAATGTGTGTGAAAAATCCGAAACAGAAAGTGCAGCCCTCCAACTAAAAACACGTGCCAGTTTCTCGGGTGAGTGCCAAGATACTATATACTCGTACTCGTACTCGTACTCGTACACCGCTGCCCCCAAAACTAAGCCGCAGAAACCGCAGTTCGAGGCTTTTCCCAACATTTTCGGGGAAAGCGGGCCAACTTTTCTGCTGATGCACAGTTGTTATGACAGCGCCAAATTGATTGATTGACGATGACTGGGCCAAAATGCTGAAACAAATGCCCAAAAAGAGGGCTTTCGTTAAATCAAATACTCGTATATAGTCTGCCAGTTCGGAATCATGAAATATAAAACAGTTGCTTGTAAAGCGTTCACTTCGTTTAGTAAACCTTAAGAGCCCCTAAATAATTTATTTCAAATAAATGGTGTGCTCTCTGGAATCTTGTGGGCTATCCTTTCCCTTTAATTTTAAACACCTAGTTTTTATAAATTTATATTATTTCCAAAAAAACCAAATCCCAGTGTCGTTGAACTTATTAAACAAAAGCACGCCAGTTCCACACTCATAATTTGCGTTGCCTATGCGCCACCTAAAAGGCTACTAAATTATTTAAAGCCAATAGCATTTTTAATGAGATTTTCTTGTGAACTTTTATTTAATTTGAGCCAAAATGATTTTAATAATGAATATATTTTTATTATTTTTAATATAACATTTTAGCCATTAAATGGAACAATAAAGACTTTAATAAAAAACCGCATCAAATAAATTGTGTCGGCTTAGTGGTCACAGTTTGTTTAACTAAACTAATGGCTTATTTCAAGAAAAAACTATTAAACCATGGAAAGCATCGAGTTCGCTTCAAAGTTTTTTTCATTGAAATTAGCTTGTAAAGGAAAATGTGCTTAATTATGAATAAATAACTGCGGGTTCAACTTTGGAATATGGAAATTTAATACATTTTTTAGTCATCATTATTGGGATGATTTAGTTTTATAATTATGCTGACCGTGATAAAGATAAAGCGACCGTGATGTTGACCCAAGAAGTTCATTGATGCTCGTTAGTTTGTGTGTCTGTTTTAAGAGGATATTTAACTATTTTAGTAGAGCCTTGTCTTATTCTTTTCCACAGGACTTAAATAGTGATTAGCTCCCTTTTTTTGCATGTGTCTCTGTAGAGCTTGTTAAAGCTTACTAAGTATTTATTATGCACAGTTAATATATATCGGCGATTCTAAGGAAAAAAATATTATATGTAATTTAATACTGAAGTGATATAAGAGTAGACTACAGATGCAATAGAACCAATTTAATATGGGGGCCTGACTGGGATCAATAAAGTTTCTGTGGAAGAAGTTCTTGGTTACTTAAAAACTCTTAGAATTTACGCTTAATTGTTTGTTTAAAGTGCAAACAAATTAGTGTGTTGTTATCATTATGCAACAGTTATTTTCAAAGCACGATCCTCATACGCATCACTTTAATATAGGAATATGAGGTGAAGTGTTTTGAATATGGAAACCGATTTGGCCTGAAACCTTGTTGCGCGAAGGACATGGGCCAGTGGGTATTGGGCACTGGGAGGTGGAACTGCACCTCCCGGCGGAATGCAAGTGGAAAGCCAGCAAGCAAGACTAGAGCTAAATAAATAAGCAGTCGGCACCCGGCGCAAGGAAAAATGACTGCAAATACAAATACAAATGGTAATACAAATGGAAATGTTGCCTAATGCATTTTCCAGCTTTTCCAGCTGCAAGCCGAGCAGCAGAAAATACTGGTGGAACATCAAAAGCCAGCGGAAATGGACAGTAAATAAGTGTTTACAATTTTTTTGCCCCCACTGTGCGCGGCCTTGTTGCATCTTACTCTTGCCCCCGTGAATTTGTTGCTCTTGCTTTTTGTTGCTTTTGCTGCTGTTGGGTTTCTGGAGGGTAGGGCACATAAATTTCAGCGGAAATTGTGCAGACCCCCCTCGAACGGAGAGCGCCCTGAGCCACTGCAAATGAAATCTCAGTTGGAGGGGGCTGGCGAAATGGGGGTCACCGAAAAAATGCCAGAAAATGTTAAGCATTTTAAAATATTACCTTACAAAGTGTGGAGAACACTTTGCTGGCGAATCTCAAAAAGCTGAATGATCAATGGGTTTGGAAGAGCGAAGGGGATTTTTTTCCCTTCAAGGAGTTGTGTGCTTTGTAAGGTGTTTTTTTTTTGAGGACTTGGGAATCCTTGGCAATTTAAAACTTTCAAAAACTCACTTGCAACGGCAGAGTATCTATTAATGAAGAAAAGCTGATAAACAATATTGTGAATATTAAATATTCTGCTATTCTGAGGAGAAGTCCGACTGGGTTTGCTGATTTCTCCCCACTTTTTTCTCTATTAACGCACATAATTACCAGTTTCTGACCAGTTGCTGCTGCAGAGAAACTAACTTTAGCCCGAAATCGTATTCATTCAGCCAATTGTCTTTAAGCCGCTTCTATGTAAAAGCTGCAGCTTCTGCGCTCAAGCAGATAACTTTATTTCATTTGGCATGATGAGATATATTTTCGTGTTTTTGTATTTCCGTATTTTTGTGCGCTGCGCTTTTCATTAGCGAAAAAGAATTGCACTTGAATGCAGCAGCCGGGACAAGTACTGCAATTACTGCATAAAGTACTTGTAACGAGGCAACTGCCACTGGAGCTTCAGACTCTGGCCCATGATGCCTCATGATGTTGAATCTGCCTCTGGATCTGATGCGCCAGCTTATGCTGGCAACTAGTGGTGGTGGTGGTGGTGGTGTTGGTGGTGGTGGTGCTACTACTACTGGTGGTGTCCACCCACCCGAATGCAGCGCTAATTTAAGGCAATTATTTGTGCCATCCGCCCCATTGCACAGTGGGCCAAATCGCAGGATGTGAATGTTGCTGGCAATGCGAGGACGTCGACTCGGTGTCCTGGGATCGGTAATTGCGTCGCCATGGATACGGTAATGGTATGGATGCGTCTTTGAGTGCATTCCGCGCGACCAACCAGTTGCACTTCGCCCAGGTGCCGTAATTAGCATGGAGTGGGTTTCACTGTACTCCCGTTCCTGTCTGCGGGCTATTAACCACAGCTGTCATTGCCTTTCAATAACTAACTGGTTGTTCATTCAGCTGGAGTGGCAGTGCCCGAAGTCCAAACAAAACCATCAAGCAAACGCAGGTTAGCTAATTGAATATGTTTAATGCGTTCGCGTATCCCCAACAGCAGGAGTTCCCAATGGTGTAGTACAGCTTCTGGGCTTTAAAAGCCATTTCCATTCCCCTTAAACTAGATCTTAAATGAGGTTTTTCCCACATTTTGGGATCCCTGCTTTAAGGCCACGGTACACTTGCACTTCGGCTTGAAAGGGGAACCATCCGGTGCTCGTTGGTTCTGGCATTCATCTGGAGGCCTTGCTTCAGCCGACTCCCTCTCTCCCTCTCCCTCTCTCGCTCGCACTCATTTAGGCACACTAATTCATATTCTTCATGGGTGTGTGTGTGTGTGTGTTTGTGTGTCTAGGGCTTAGCAGCCATTCAGTCAGTCGCCATGTCCGTTTCCGCTACTCAGCTGCCCCGCCTTCCCTTCGGCCATTTAATGCACTTATTCATTAAAATAAAGCACAAAAAATAAATGAACGAAGGGGGAAGGGAGGGGGAGGGGAAGGAGGAGGGGAAGGAGGAGCTGGGGGGGTGGGGGAAAAAATAGATGGCAAGGAGGCGCAACAAGAATGAAAATGAATGAAATAAAAAATGTAAACATACACAAGTGCAATGCAAATTAAAGCAGACAGCAAAGTGGCTGCACTGCGGGGGCGGTGGGGTGAGGTGGAGGGGGTGTGGTTTTTGTGGGCGCTACAGGAGGGGCGTGGCGGGGTAGGGGGAAGGGGAGGGGCTGGGGTTCGGGTAGGTACTCTCAGCGAAGAGGCAATTCATTAGCTTTAATTTAGGTAAATGTCCTTGGTCCTTGTGGCGTTGCCTCTTGCGGTGAACGTCGCAAATGCAACTAAAATGTTGCGGTTGCCATCATTTCCGCCCACAGCCACGCCCCCTTAAGAACTGGAACACTTGGCGAAAGTATTACACCTGGATTTACAACTCATGGAATTGCCTCTGCAAATTGGATTTACCAGGCTGAAGGAGTAGACTTAGTCCATATCTTAAAGGGTTCCATATCATCTAGGGTTGCCAAGCAAGTTAGTGAATCAATCACAGGCTTTAATTTCCTCTTAGTTTTCTTTATTAACAAGATAACTTAGCTCATTTGCATAATTTTTCCATCTATGTATGTATTAAAACTTTCGTATTCGCTTGCTCAGTTCAACAGGAGATCATTTTAAACTCATTATAAATTTCAAACCCCCCAAAACTCCCGGTTTTTTTTGCAGTGCACCACTGAGTGTCTTCCTATTTGGCAGCTTGCTTAATATTTAAGGTAGCCCCGCATGCAGGCGGCCAAGTGGGCGATATAATGGAGCCGTAGAGTTGCCACTCCCTACACTGTCGCACAAAATTGGGTTCTGCGGTGAATTTTGATTAGTGTGTCTGGGCATAACCAATTCGCCGTCTCGCTCGCACACTTGGTAGGTTTTCGGTTTGGTAATTGATTCGGTTAGAGAACATAGCGCTTTGGGGCTTGACTAGCAACCAATTTCAATCTCACGTCATTAAATGATAACCCTTCGCTCCCCGAACGAATTGTTCGATACGCAAAAACGAGTACAATGGACCAGCAGTCGGGCTTCTCGGGGGCTTGTTTGATTTCATTGTGGGGATTACTTTGCCCGTTCGCAGAGCAAAGTGTTCTGCAATATTAACTATAAATCACGCAGAAAACAAAGCATTATAAATGTTCCCTAAACACTTTACTTTGCCAGGGCTTCCCCTTGGTTTTCCCCTCCCCTTTGTTGCAAGTTAAGTTATTGTAAAGTTAACCGATTTGGTTCGTTTAAAAGGGGCTGCGGTGGGGGTGGGGGTATCCCCCTGAAATTGGGGGCTGCAGTGAACGTGTTGAACTGGGTGCTCGGCCAGCAGTGCAACCAGCAGCTCTCCTTTTTCGAACCACT